TTGTAATGCTAGCCAAAATTCAGCATAATTTTGATCGTTTATGACCTTCAGCCAATCAAACACATGTACTAGATTTCCCATGATGTAACATTCTTTTAAAATTCGGAATACGTATATTTGTACATGTGATTTTAACTATTATTTTGATTGGTCAGAAGGTTTCGCCACAGGTTTCATCAATCATCATGTGATTAAGCTATTATTTTGATTGGTCATAAGGTTTCGTCACTCGTCACAGGTTTCGTCTGACGAATGACGTGACGAAATGTTTCGTCATCATGAAAATAGTTTCGTCAGATATCATTAGTCTCCATCCAGTACGAGTTCCAGCTGTTTAGATCTCCCCATGTGTCAGAGTCTTGCTTCCAATAATCTGAGAACAGCCAGACGTTCAGACTTGCAGCTCTAAAACAGTGATAAGTAACTGACTCACTCACCTGGATATTCCAACTTCTCCACATTGTTGAGCAGCGTTTGTGGAAAAAATAAGCTTTAAACGAAAGGTTCTAAAGCTGTGTGCAACATCTATCATACGCTAAAAGCATTGTTTAAAAATAAGAGCGTTGTCTAAAGGAGAATGCAAGATATAAATAAGAGCGTTGTCTGAGAGAGAATAATGAAGAGAACATTGGTCCTACCAAAATTATGAGGATCATCGAAATGGTGTACAGTATAACAGTATCAATCATGCACCTAACGTCGACTACGGCGAGTTCTGGATACCCAAGTTTAATGCTCGGTTACATCATAGTGCCAGATCGTGTGATTCCTTTCGAATATTCAGTGTAGGCTTTTCTGTAGTCATAGCTTGGTCACTGCGATATCGATGTCCAAGTAATTCGGTTGTTTGAGGGAGTGAAGCAATTGTTTGAGAAAGTAGATTTCTAAAATAAACAAAAATCTGCATTATTTTATATTATTGATAGAAGAAAAATAATTATATTGAATACCTAATTCATTGTTTCACTTTGCTATTTGATTTGTGTTAACGTTAAAGGCAAAAAAAGAATCATAAAGGATTTATTTAAGATGAATGTACAGTATTCATGCTTTGAGAAATAAAAGAATTAATTATCAAGTTGTTATAAAGTATACTATCACATTTAGGATATTTAAGTACCGTATTTCACTGTATAAAGTACCTACCCCTTAGAAAATTTTAACCTAGTAAAACCAATCATTTTGTCTGCAAAATGAATAAAACAAGATTTACGGTGTGCAATTTCTTCAAAAAAATTTTTTACTAAATTAATAGCTTCAAATTAAATGTAGGTTTAAATTTTTTACAGTGGAGGGTATTTTATGCAGTGAAATACGGTAGTATTAATACAAAGGCAGTAGCTTTATATAAATAATGCACTAACGCTAATTACATCTCGTTGTTAAATGAAATTTCATACATACCGATGTATATCGAATAAAAAATCAAGTTCTCTTGTCGTTACTAGAGTGACACGTTTTTTGTTTAACTGTGACAAAATTTTTAAAAAGGTTTTAGGTGAGTTCATGCCAAATAATAATTTTTATCCATGCATGCATTAAAATTTTAGTGTAAAGTTCGATATGAAATTGTTTTTAATATATAGTCATCGTAACTGACGTGTTACTTGATCAAATGAATATCAGTATATTTTATTATATTATCTAAAATTTATTATAGCTAACCGTCTTGCCTTCTCAGTCACAAAAATTCATATAATAAATTGTCAACTGAAGAATTCAAATAAAAATGCCACGTGTAAAACAAAAATTCACTAAAACTCGTCGCGAATCACGCAATGATAACTGGAAATCAAGCCGGCAATCAAGTTTAAACACTCAGTCAACTGAGTACGAAGAAGCATGGGAAAGACTTTACAGAAAAGTTGAAAAAAATCAAACCTTGCTTGAGAAAGATAAAATGAAAAATGAAACACCTAGTCAAAAATTTGGAGCTAATCAAAGAAAAGTACAAATTACAACCTACCAGGAATTCAAAAATGCTAATTTTTGGGGTCAGAGTGTTTCTATTATTTATACTGGAAGATCCACTATTGACGAATTGATAGAAAGATTTGAGAATCCGACAAGATCTGCTGAAAATGATGAATCTTATCAATCAAGCCTAGAGAAGGATTCAAGATCAAATAGAAGTATACAACCAATTCGTAGTAAGTTTCATTTTAATATTTTTCTAATTTTTTCTATAAATATCAATTATTATATGTTTGATTCCTGATTTAGACGAGGAAACTATGTCTACTGAAAGCTTTAAAAGTGTCGAAAAGTGGATATCCGAGTTACCCGAAGTGACTGATGATTATTATAATGATAGCAAAAACCCAGAAGAAATTTAATGCAAAGGTAGCAGATTCACACTTTAAATGCAATAGTTATACAAGTAATTCAACTCATTCAACTAATTCAACTAATGGATACGGAATTATCGCAAATAATCAAACACTATTGTTGAAAAATAGAACGCAAAATTATCGTGACTGATTAGGTAAGTTATAATACATGCTTGCTTTTATTTTACCTTTTTTATATATATTTTGATTTTGTGAATAAGTCGCTAGATATGAACTTTATTTTAGCAGCAGATGCTTGTAATTGAGTAATCGAATTAAATTATAGAAAAAGTGACATTTTACATATGTTTATCTTGTAATACTATTGGTTAGTATATATAATCAATGTTTAAAATTCAATATTTGAATTTATTTATCTAACATCAGATATTCTCAGTGAATTGAAATATCTGATTTTCATTACCGTTACGTAAACATGATTATTTATTACAGTACATGTATTTGTTTCTCCAAACATTTAACAATACTAAATCTTTATTACGTAGCTAAATTTTCTGTTGCGATTTATCCTGCATTTGTGTTTATTCCCTAATTGTTAATGGAAGCAAATTGCATATGAGTTTCCATACTTCAAATATTTCAATTAAGGAGACGGTTGCTTTTTTTGGGCTTGCCAGACTCAGATGGATACAATTTAGAGTAGGGGTCTTTTTGACTCTTGGCTAACTTTGATAACGAATCGATAAATAAGAGCTTAAATTGATATTAGAGAATTATTTCATACATAAATTTATCGTTCGCACAAATGGATTTTTTTATAAAACTCTATTTTGACTGCTTACGTGTATTTGAGGAAACATTTTACATATTTAAAGATATAATAAAAAGAGTTTAGAAAGACTATAGCTATATTTACCATAAACATTCGTGCGAAATACTTGATTTCAACCATAATTTGATTATAGAATTGTGCATAATGTAACAATAGCTAGAAAAAATCTTCTTTCCGAACATACAAAATAGATAATTAAGAATTTAATAAAATATGTCAAAGGATGCTGTTTTTCATTAGATTTGAGTCAAAGGCTCATACCTATTCTGCCAAGAATAAGTACCACTTTTTGAACTCTAAAAACATCATGATGCTTATTTCTTCACATTCAAAATTTTTACAATTTATATATATTTTTTGTAAATAAATATAATAGCATTTCGTTGTTTTATTACTTTTTGATTGAAATTGTGGTTCTTATTCCTGGCAGAATAAGTTTATTTTTGGTGCTACTCTCCTAATTATGAAACTTCATAATATAGTCTAAATACTATATGTAAATTTATGTCCTATCGTGAATAAATATTGTAATTGTGATTCACATTGTGCAAAAAAATATTGCTACTGATTTTTATGTTTGATCTTAAATATAACTTTGTATATTTCTTCGCATTTTTATTTGTGAAAAAATGTCGAGAGATATTGTCAAGAATAAAAAGTGTCAATACAGAAAAAGATTCATGTCATATGATTTGCTATTTCCTCAAGTAACATCAAGGCTGTCACAAATTTGGTTCGTTGGGTAAAGCAACTGTAGAACCAACTAAACACAGCAAATCATGTCCACTTGGAAGACTAGGCAGAAAAAAACTTTTTCCTGAGAAGAAAACATGACTTTACACATGAATATCTGAATGCATATTAATACTATACATGTGGTTATATTATTATATCTGGTAATATAACAGTTAATCCGGAATATGTCTGTATTTTTACTAATAAAAACATAATAATACATTTTTAGAAAAAAGATTGTATTTAATATTACCATATGTATGTTTAATACTATAAATAAATCAGAAAATAATGTAATTACAATAAATTGCAGTGAAGATGAGAGCTAGTAATAATAATTTGAAGGATAATATTGAGGATTAGGAGAATTAGGAGGATGAAGAGGATGAGGTATATGAGAAAATTGAAGAATAAATGTAATTTTTTATTTAATAAGTTTCTGGTATTATCGATTAGTGATTAAAAATTGAGATTGATTATATTTGTCCTTGTGATTTATTGATTTTAAAGTTGCTTATATTCATTTATACATGGTATTATCTTGTAAACTTCGAAAAATAATATTTTTTCGAAAGATTTATTATAATAATTGTAACAAGTTTCATTGTATTTTTTTTAGATATTATTGAAGAGAGCTAATAAATAATCTAATATATTTTTTTCAAATTGGTCAATGTTATGTTTATTTGTGGTGATTGGTCCTTATTTACATTTTCATTAGATAAATTTATGTCATAAAAATGAATGAGGTGATATTAAGCACGACTCAATAATTAAATAAATTTAGATTATTGTATACTATTTTCAGCCTCTTCAGGCTGATTTTTCTTTCCCATTCTACCATTATTGAAAAACGCGATATCATACTCGTTGTAAGAATTTAGCAAAATGATGTTAATTTTACATATTTCTATATTTTGAGGATATAAATTAATGAGTAATTTATGTGCATACACAAATAATAGTTAAATATATTAATAATGTAATAAAATAGTATAATAAAATAGTATGAATAATAAATAAAGAAAAAATTAATTATATTTCAATTTTGTTTTAAAACTCAAAATAATTAGGAGATAAATGGGAAAAACATCTAAAAAAAATACATGTATCTGAATTTAAAAAATAAAATTAGAAAAGATTAACGACTTACTAAAGACACAGTTGACCAATGACACTTTTTCATGTTACTATCAGAAGTTTTAGTTGCGAGCTCTAAACAATTTCTATTTAACATGAATTTTTCATTCCTTGTTTTACAGAAAACAAAAATTAATAGTACCCTAGCCACGGCAAAAAAGGTGACTGTCACGTGATCCCGATCCCGATGCCGGCCATCTGATATACCTCTTAAATTATTCACCAATAAAATCAATGTGCAACGCAAAATTCGGTTAGGATTTACAGAGAACTCTCACTCCTCCATATGAAAAAAAACAAAATGTGCATTTAGGGAGGGTGTGCATTTATGGATAATAAATAATTAGAAGTCATATATACTCGGAACTGAGTCAGAGTGTGCATTTAAAGAGGGAGTGTGTGCATTTAGAGAGTGTTCATTTAGGGAGAGTTCTCTGTATTTATTAATTTACTTAATATACATGTATTAAGCTTGTCAAAAAATATTCAAATTTGACTCAGAATCTAAAGATTCATCTAATTTATCTGATAATGAAAAAGAAGTGATATATCTATTATAATTCAATAACAATATAATATATAATTTCAAAAATCAATTAGAAATCTTGAATTAATTACAAAGAAATCCAAACCACTATTTACACATCAGTTAAAGCACAAAGATAGTTTCATAAGCAAAATTGCAAGACACAAGCTATTTTTCAAAAAATAAATATTTGTTTATTTTGAATTTTTGAAATAATTAACCGAATCTTTAACACATGCATAATTTTAAAGGGCATATCGGATGGCCGGCATCGGGATCTGAATCATGTAACCGTCACTTTTTTTCGCTGTGGCTAGGGTATTATAAATAAAGGTAAGTGATGACATCAACAAATATAATTCACATGTTCAGAATTCTCGTTTTTTCTAATTGAAATACCAATTAATTTGTGTGATCAAATGAATTACTACAATGCGTAAGATTAGTACGTTTTGACCTACGTGTCAACATTCAATTTGTGAGTTTTAACAATATTATTTTTCGCATTGTTATAAAGGTTATATTCAATATATTTAGTTTTTTACTCATATACATGTATTCATGATTAGCGTATATCGATATGTTAATACATGAATAAAAAATTGAAGTAGTCAACACCATTAAATATAAAAACGTGTCACGAGGAAATCTAGCGAATTCAATATATGAATAAATCGATTTTCTTTAACTAAAAAGCAATCTAAATCAATGCAAGTTCTGATGATAGATGGTTAAATAATGTAAATAATTAGAAAATGCCTCGACATAATATTATTAAGTATAGAAGTTTCATGCTAAAACTCAATAGCCATAGGTTTATCTTTAGCACCTAAAGTTTATTCACTTTCAAGAGGCGAATTTCGGGATAAATGTTTGTTATTATTAGCTGTAAGTAAAAATATTTTAATACATTATACAAAAAAATCTATTTTAGATACGAATGCCTACCAGACGCAAACAAGTCATCATTACTAAGTACGGTTGTGTGTCATAGCTAATAAATCTACTTGTATAAATTGCTCCTGGATAGACTTCTTGTCTAATGTGTTATAATCACGTCGATTGCCATCTAAAGATGCATTTTTTCATCTTCATCAATATCAGCTTCTATCAATTTTGAACCAAGACGCCGTGTTTTTTTTTTTTATTTCTTTAAGAAGTTGTTCAACGTTAGGTCTTTGAGATGAATTTTCATGCCAACATCTTTTCATCAAATTTTTCCAACAACTTGGTGTCCCATAGGTAATTTAGGTCTAAGTCATCAATGAAGAGTAGCATCATGAGAACGGTCGCCAAATGGATATTCACCCACAGAGGCAATTTCGGTAAATATCTGATGCTTATGTATGTGGTTGACCATGTGCCATATAAGGCATCACATCATATGTTCCTTCTGAAAAATCAGCTTCTTCAACAGGCCGCGATAATCCAAGATCAGTTATATAAATTTCGAGAACTAGTTTCCCTTTAAACACATTTCCACTATGAAGATCACGATGTATGTATTAACTGCCTTTTTTAATACTAAAACCAAAATGTGTTTCTGGATCAAATGAAATATCATAGCATGTTATTTCTTTTTTCCGATGCATTGATAATAAGCATAAACCTATAATTGTTAGATTATTATTAGATATAAAAGAAATTAAACTATGATAATTTTCTTAATTCGTTTATAAATTCTTAGAACTATTTTTTGAATTCTTTAAGCATTTTAAAGCAACTTCTTGTTCTCTCAATATACTCGAAGGGTAATTTTTCAAAATCGCTGAATATACTTTTGCAAACCCTCTTTGTGCCAAATATTCAATAGCAAAAAACTCGTTGAAATCAATCCATTCCGAGTCTTTAACACGTTGTTCTACTTTCCAAATGAATTATCTGGTTCTTTTTTCACATTGTCGTTAATTTCGTTAGAATGCAAATATGGCTCTTTACTATCGTTATTACGCTCAATGCAAAGCCCAATGCCAGTTGGATTGCAAGTTTTACATAAAATAATTTTCAAACAGGAAAAATCAATATCTTTTTTTTAGATTTGTGCATCCATCCTTCAAGCATTGAGATCCAATGAATCCTTTTCATTGCAAGTAGGGCAAATTTTTGAATCCTGTAAATCTTTTAAAGCGAGCATGATGATGGGATAATTTTATTAAATAAATTGATTTTATAATATGGCGGAAATTGAGTTATCAAGCCATTTTTCCATTTTTCTGAAAAACTGCATCAAATCCTCCTTTTGCTGAATATTTTTTGTCAAAGTATTCTTTAAATTGATCTATTCAAGTGAATATTTTCTTGTTTCCCACAAGAATTCATTTACCTCGTGATTTCTGTTTCTTATTTTTACTTCATTGCTGTGCCAAAACTCTTCATATATGTTTGCACTGCCACAGCCATCCATGTAAAGCCCAATGCCAGTTGATTGCGAATGTTACACAAAATACCTTTCGAACGAATATTTTCCGAAGTGCATAGCAAGCGGGAAAAACGAATGTCTTTTTTTATATTCGTGCATCCATCCTTCAACCATTGATTTCCAATAAATCCTTTTTCATTGCAAGTAGAGCAAATTTTCGATTCCTGTAAACCTTTTAAAGCAATTATGGTGGCGCTTTTGATGGGATAATGTCTATTAAATACATTGGCATAATTTCCATAAAATAAATTTGGCAGAATCAAGTCATTTTTCCATGTTCCTGAAAAAATTGCATCGAATTCTCCTTTTACGTACTGGATACTTTTTGTCAAAGAATTTTTAAAATCAATCCATTACAAATCTTTAACACGTTGTTCTCCCCAAATGAATTTATCTACCTCGTAATTTCCGGTTCTTCTTTCACGCTGTCATTAATCTCATTGCAATATATACACCAACATTCCTCTTCAAAACGCGTACCACTATTGCATTCAATACAAAGACCAATGCCAGTTGGATTGCATGTTTTACACAAAATACTTTTTATATTTGCTGAAATGCATTTAGAGCATAAAAAATCGCAATGTTGTTTTAGATTAAAGCATCCGTTTACTTCACATTTAAATTTATAATTGCCTTTTCGTAGCAATTTGGACAAGTTTCTGAAGCGTCATTGAAGTTTTTTTATTCTTGACAAAATGGGTTAAATCTTTGCATGAATTAGTCATTTTCAGATTTAAAATGAAAAATTTTCAAGCTAAAAACCATAATTTTATAGTTTCGAAAAATCACAACTTTGAAGACTTCCTAATTGTAACTAAGCATTCCCATTCAGACTACGAACGTATGTATAATCTGTCATGTACATGTAAAAAATATTAACGTTACACATATATATATTCAATAGTATTAAAATTAGCGTTAGCGTTCTGCACGGTTCGGTTCGGGTTTTTGATAGCCGAATTTCTGAGAGAAAATACATGTAATGATTAAATATAGGGGCTGTTATTCGTATCCCCCCCCCCCCCCACTTTTGTTATTCATACATAATAAAATTACATGTACGTATATTTTAGGGGATACGATAAAGCGTTGTACCTTCAGGTAATCCATCCAATGAGGATGCGCAAATTTTGTTGATCACCAATAAGA